TGGCCAAAATCGGAATAGTTACACTTGTTGATCATTTTTTTAAAAAATTGTCATTTTTTTTGAACACCACTGTATATCTGGATTAATATAGTTCAAATATATTTGGATATATTCAATTTTAAAAATTTCCTAATGTAATAATCAATTTATTTAGCCTTTGCATCAACATTTAACCTTTGCATTAACATTTAACTATTGCATCTAATTGTATCAGAACTAATTCCTGAGCTCAATTGACTAAATTCCTAACTCAATTCATATTACACCAATTCTTCCTTAGTTTCAATGATTAAAAAAAAATAAGTAAACATCAAAAATGATATTAAAAAATTTCAAAGATAGAAATTAATTGCATATTATATTAAAAAAAAAATCTATATAATTAAAAATTGAATAATTAATTGTTGTTTTAAAATTTTTTATCTATTCAAAATTCAACTACTAATTGTTCTTTCAAATTTGATAATTTAGATTTGAGCTTTTTACAAAAAAATATATACTATTCTTACCTTTGAGATTACTTAATATCATTTTTAATATTTATTTATAAAATAAAAAGTTTTATATATAGATTACATGTGATATAATTTGATTCCATTGGTTTTATCAACTTTTAATTAGTTTGAAGTGACTCAAGCTAAATCGTAATTTGGTCAGCTTGAAATCTTTAAATCAAACCAGTTTAGCTTCATTAGTTCAGTTCAATTCAGTTTGACTTAATTTGAACTTAATAATTCCAGGTGGTAGGTTGCAGGCATGTCTCTTTAGAGTTAGTTTGAGTCTCAGTTTTTCTTCATAGTATTAGAATAAGTTATGTATCTTTATTATATAATGTAATATAAGAGACTTTCTCTTTTTTTAATTAATAAATCTGGAGCAAGACCTTGCTGAAACAAAAAAAAAATTGAACTTAATAACTCTAGTCATAACTAGTACTTTTAACAAATTGAATAGATCCAAGTTGATTTGTGTAATTTAATTTGGAATCAGGTTAAGGTCAATAATTTTTAAACTTGAAAGTTGAATTGATTAAAATTTATAAATATTATGTAATCTCAAAAACTGTTTATTTTAAGAATATTTGATGTACTAATAAAAATTATTCTTTATATTATTTTACACATATTTTATTAGTATCATAGTAATTTTTTGTATTAGTTTTTGAGATTTCCAACAGTAAAATATTTTAGATATTTTTTTTATTTCCATATATTACATGCAATAGAACAGTTGATTGTTACTGATTTTTAGCTGATCTATAGTATAGGAATTACCATTTGCTACAGTGATTCTTTTGTATTTGACTAGTATATAATATCACACTTATAACAAAGTAGGACCCCAAACAATATATATAGAAGTGATAAGTAGGGTTTGTTAATTTATTGTATAAAAAAATTTTAAATGTCAATTTTTATTTGCTTAAAATATCATAAGATCAAGTTTGCTTAACTGTTAATTAAGTCATAAAACATATGACGTAGTTGCACAAAAAGTACTGTATAAAAACTATAAAATCTATAAAACGCGTAACCACCAAATCGATTCTTTTCAAATGTATAAGAAGAAAAAAACTCGTGAAGTTTCTTCACGATATCTACAAAACCTCAATACTAATAGTAATAACAATAATATCAACAATGTGAATGAAAATGTTGAAATAAAATCTATAGAGAATCATGAAGTAAAGAAAAGGGAAATCATAATTAAATCTAACCCTTTTATTTCCAAAAGACCATACAATAAACCTTCTGGATTAAATAAAAGTGGAAATAATCAATCGACAATAAGTTTAGATGACGAATTGATAATGTTAAATTCGCGATTAATGCAATGGTGTTTTTTGAATGCTAAAGCTGAACATGCATTCGATTTTCAAAAACAAACTGTTGAGACACAATTGAAGGATGCTTGGGAATTGCTTATGAAGAAACAAAATGAAATGTCAACCTTATGTCGAAAATTTACTTTAGAGAAAGAAATAATAGAGTTAGATATAACGTTGAAATCACAAGCAAATTTATTGTTACAGATTAATCAACATTTAGAACATTTTAAAACGCGTTATATCGCATTTGTAACTGCCTTGGCAAGTACTACTACTGCCATGCCAATTGCTTATATATTAACAGGAGAATTTAAACATTTAACAGAAGAGATTAATAAATGTTCGAATTCTTTGGATGAGACATTACAAAATTGGGAAAAAGAGTCATCAACTATACATAATATTGCCAATTTGATTTACAAACTTTATATCAATATCAAGGAAGAAATTCAAGAATTAAATGAATGTAATTCTCTTTTACAGAAAATTTCCGAGGCCGAAATCCTTGAGACAAGTTTAAGAATACAAAAAATTGAGATCATAAGTGATTAAAATTTCATAATTATTGTATATTGAGAAATAATAATAAAATGAATATTTCGATTATTTCGATTATTTCGTAGATTTAGTTTTCTGAATTTCAGACAAAATTTTCTTATTATCAGTCACTTATTGTTATTGCAAGTTTTAAATAAATAAAATAATGATACTTGTATTGAAATATTATTCAATCTGAAATATTTGAAGATTTGCATCTATTATTATTCTTTTTTATTTTTTTCGAAAAATCAGGTCACGTTATATTTTATCTCAAAAAAAAAAAAATGATGACTACTACAAGAAAAGCAGCGCGTCAAATTATAGGAAATTTGACAAGATCTTCTATAATCAACGTAAAGAGAAATTTAATAACAAGGCATTCTTCTTTTTCTCCTAAAGCTCAAGCTTTGATACCATTTGTAGTCGAACAAACGGTAAGGATCATTTTTATCTAGTATTTCTTGAACGAAAATAAAGATCTTTATATATGTTATTTTAAAATCTAGTCAAGAGGAGAACGTTCTTATGATATATTTTCTAGACTTTTAAAAGAAAGGATTGTCTGCTTAAATGGTCACGTAAGTAATTTATTTTTTATAGGGAATATTCTACAAATAAATTATTTAAAATATTTTTATTTAAAAGATAGAAGATAGCGTAGCAGCGGTAGTAGTAGCCCAATTATTATTTCTAGAAGCTGAAAATCCCGAAAAACCAATTAGTTTATATGTTAATAGTCCAGGTGGAAGTGTTACTGCTGGAATGGCTATCTATGATACTGTAAGTATATATCTTTTTTTTTTTCAATTTGGTGACTTAAAATTATTATTAATTATTAAAATTGTAATTGTTAAATTATGATTACTTTTTTTTTTTTTATTCGAAAATAGATGCAAGTGAGAAAAAAAAAATTTCAAGATAATAAAAAAATGTGTTGGAATTTATTTATATTTATATTTTTATTAAAAAAAAATTCTTTATTTATCTAAGTATATTCAATCACCAGTATCAACTCTTTGTAATGGACAAGCATGTTCGATGGGTTCATTACTTTTAGCAGCTGGTAATTTTATAATTTTATTACCTATTTTTATATATTCAAAAAATTTTAAATTTTCTTTCGTTTTTACAGGTGAACCAGGTAAACGTTACGCGTTACCACATTCAAGTATAATGATTCATCAACCAATTGGAGGTGCTTCAGGTCAAGCAAGTGATATTGCTATTCATGCAAAAGAAATATTAAGGGTAAGAGAAAGACTGAATAAAATCTATCAAAAACATACTAAAAAGCACACTTTGGATGAGATTGGTAAGTTTTATTAATAGATAATATTATATATTTGATGGGTATGATCTATATTAATTATCTATTATTTTATTATTAGAAAAAGCAGTGGAAAGAGATTATTTTATGACTGCAGATGAAGCAAAGGAATTTGGTTTGGTTGATAGAGTATTAGAAAAGAGAGAGATTAAACCATCAGAACCTACCATCTAAAATCAATTTAACATCTTTTTTTTGGTACCATTATTATATAACAACTTGTCTATAAAAGTGAATAATAAATAAAGTATAATTGAACACGTGATATTTTAAATTCCCAAATTATGAATTTGTCAAATTGTCATTTTATTTAATTTGAGTATAAAAAATATAATAATATAATGATAAAATATTCTCCTTGGAAAAGGAGAACTGTCCATTGTACTCTCAACTCTCTTAATTTTCCTTCCATTTATTTCTATATTATTCATTTCCCTAATTCTTTAGTGTATAGATTTATCTACATTTTTATTTATATTATTTATATTATTTATATTTTTATTTATTATTTTTGAATATGTTACTAATAAAATTTATAAATGCAAAATTAAATATTCAACTTTAAAAATTCTTATTCAATCTATTATTCATGATTTTTCATGATTATATATTTTTTTTAATAAAATTTTCTATGAAATAAAACAAAAAAAAATCAATTACTAATTAACAATACTATGAAATAGAATGATCGATCATATATATTTACAAAAAAATTCCATAAAAGAGCACCAAAGAGCTCACCAACTAATGAGTATATTATAGTACAAAAAAATTTTAAAGGGTTTTTTTTTAAATAAAAGTGACCCAAAAAAAATAATAGCAAAAAGAAATAATATAGATACAAAAAAAGGTCTCAATAATTTTATATAACAAAATGTGTATAAAATTAATTTCAATTAATATACTAAGTCAAAGTGTTAACTACGAAAAATTTGCGTAGTCTTGTTTCGTAAAATCTTAAAAAAAAAAAATTAAATGTCATTATAAAAGTCTTTTTTTTTTTTAAAAAAAAAAAAAAATCAAATCCATCCATGTTTATCATTACCACCTCGAAGCAATTCTACCACACTGTCACTAGGTAATTCCACTTCATTGTCACCATCAGGTGAAAAGAAGAAATTTCCATCCTCGCTAATATCGTCTGTACCATGTGCTTCACTTTTATTAAAATCAATTTCATCACAATAAGTGTTCTCGGAAATTAAGGAAGATGACGAAACTGATCGAGCACATGGTAGAGAGGGTTGGATAAATGAATTATCATTGGTTGTGGTTGTGGTGGTGGTGACGGCAGAAGAAGAAAGTGGAGAAAAAGTAATAGGAATGCTAGTTTTGTGGTTATGCTTGGGAGATCTTGAAACTGTTGAAGAACCATATGAAGAAGAAAGAGATGATTGGGGTAATGATGAAGTGGAAGCAGTTGGGATATTATTTGCAATATGAATATGGTAAGCGTCTTCAAAAGATAAAGGAGTTATTGCTATTGTAAAAGAAAGAGAATAAAAAGAAAGAAGAATGAAAAGAAATAAGAACATTATAAATTATTATAATTATGAAATTAATTTTGAATATTATATATGGTAAATATTGAGCATGCCTGTATCACTGGCTATAGATTGTGAATATCCATTAGTAGAACCATTAGTAAAACCATTAGATATATTAGATATACGATTGTTAGATTTAGTACTGATTGCAGAAAGCGTTGGACTAGAAGGAGAAAAACCAAGATTGGTACTCATAGCTGTTGATAAATTTGCTACAAAAAAAAAAAGAGAGAGATTTTATTGAATTACACAGAGTTCGCGAAAACAAACATTAAAATTATTTAATCTTATTAAATGTTCACATACCAGACATGTCTCCTATTCCTTTGCCAATAGCTTTACCAGCTGGTACAAGAACAGCTTTACTGTTTTTACTGTTATTACGATCCTTAATGATTCCTCTATTATTTATCCACCCATTAATCCCTTTTTCTTCTTCTACTAATTCAACTCTTTCTACAACATCTCTACGTATTTCAATCTTTTTTGAACGTGGAACCGTTCCGTTAATTAAAGCATCTTTATAACCAGTCATAAATGTCTGGAGTGTGAATTGAGGAGTAGCCCATAAAGGTGGAGGCAATGAATTTTTTGAACTGGTATGAGTTTCAATTTCAGCATTAGCCAACCAATTATGATTGCCATCCCTTTTAATTAAATTTTCTTTATCCCCATTTTCTTTAGGTGATTCAATAACAGTTTTAACTTCATTCCAAGAATTACCACGAATAAGTTGCCATTCAGCAACATCTTCATAATTAGTTACCATATCTAATGAACCTACTTCCTTTTTAACAGAACCAGTAATTCCACCAACCATACCAGCTGCACCACCTACTAATACTCTACCAACATTAGCAACAGCTGCCGCACTTCCAGCTAATGGAGTGCCGGCTATAGAAATTAAATTATTTGTTTCTTCTTGACGAGATGATTGTTCACCTATTACTACTCCTTCTATCCATATTCGATGTAAAGTCAATATTCCGGCAGGATGAAAACTCCAAATATCTTGGTAACCAATGTCATCTTGTTTATAATCTTGTTCTACATCAAGACAATCATTTCCAGAAGTATTAACTGTATTACGAAGAGAATTTTGTGACCATGATTGGGTTCTTCTGCGATTATTTGTCCCCAAATTATTAGAAGAAGAACTAACACCACCACCAGTAGAACAAATTCCTTCGGTAGCGGTAGGTGAAGATCTTCTTTTGGCTTGCCTCTTTGCATGTAAATCAGGTACTAATGGACCATTACTTGAATTCAATCCAGATTTTGAACTATTGGACCAAGATGGAAGGAATTTAACGCAAATTCCTGGGATTTTATTTATGCAATGTACAGGGAATGTAGAAGAAATATTATGTGGAAACGTAGAATGTGGATGACCATTTAAATGATATGAATAATGATTATTTTGATTACTATGGTAATGTAATTGACTTGGTCGACGTGATTGATCATTAACGGATGAATTATTTTCTGGTGGAGAGAAAGAATAATGTTCATGTGAATTAGGGTGAATATTTGATACTTGTGAGATATCCATTGAATCTGGTGGTAAAGGTGTACGAGGTTTAATGCGTACCACGGGAGATTGTGTAGTAGTATTATACTAGATTATATATAAAAATAAATTAAATTTCGGGATTAAAAAAGAATCATTTAAAAATAGAAATTAAAAGAAATTTCAAAACTTACTGATTCATCTACATTATTTACCCAACCTTTAATATGAGAAGGAACATGAGCGGGACCACCGTACGGATTGATGGCAAAAACGTGGATTGTACCACGACCACTCGCCACTGCGCACCATCTTGAATCTCTACTCCAGTCAACACCTCCCTCACCAACAATAGCATCAGTATATCCTCTAGATAATTTGTATACATGTTTTAAACGCTTATTTCTAATTCCTTGACGTCGTTTGCCAAGAATTTCAAATATATGAAATTGATGTCCTTGAACAGAAGTTGAAAATAGAAAGGTACCCGATGGACTAAATGACATGTATCCTACATGATGTGTATGAGGAGAAAAATGTGCAATAACAGAAGAATGTTTTTTTTGAACACTGAATGAGGTACCGAGATCACGAATGATAATCTAAATATTAATTAAATATAAATGAGTTTTGATATATTTTCTTTTTCATAAAAAATTAATTGATGTAAATGGTAAACACTAGGTAAACATAACAAATGATATTAATGCATACCGCACCCACAGCACCATTCTCTTTTTCATAATCGAAACCATTACTACTGTCTCCACTACTATTACTAGCCACACTTCCCGGCATTGAATTATAATAATAACCATTTGATGGACTAATCTGAGGTGTGAAAGAACCACGTGAACCAGGGCTTATACCACCAGTATGATTTTTAATATTTATGGGCATTGTGGATTGTGGTTTGGCAACAGATGAGCTTGGTGACGAATTTGCAAAATATGCTGATAATGTTTGGAATCCATAATCACCTTTAAAAAAAAAAAAAAAATGCAAGACCGAATAAATTAATAATTGAGATAATAGAATTAAAAATAAAAAATAAAACAAATATAAACTTACCTAAAAGTTTAACACCATTCACGACTTCTTTTGCGACACCTTTAGCAACTTCTTGATATTTACCAGTTGACCCAACTACTTCTTCATTATCACCCATTGTAAAGCCATCCTTTTTACCATTAATTTCTGGTGGATTACTGGTTGTTGCATAGGCCAATAACCGTGGACCTAAAGCAAATACAGGAAACTTCGTGGATGGATGAATTGCAACATCTTGCAATGGTGAAGGGAATAGTGGTGCAAGTGTTAAAGGTGATATAACCTGAAGCCTTGCAGGATTTATGAGACTCTAAATTCAAGAAATAACTTTAAAGATGATGATGATGACAAATTATGAATTCTTTAAAATTTTTCATATTATATGACTTACCACCACAATGGCACGGTCATTACAATTTACACCGACGATATTACCCTCATTCTCAAAATCTAATGTCTTTACTATTTGATGTGTTTTTAACGAAACAAATTTTAAAACACTTTTTGGTTTTGTAAATGAATCTTGACAATTTTCTCGAGATGGTGTTGGTACGCAGCTATATAATTATATAATATAGAAAATAGAAAATAGAAATAGGAATGAATAGAAATTTTATAGATTTATGATTATGGATCGATAGATGACCAAGATGAAAACTTACACTATGCCAACCAGTGGACGAACATCCGCATATTTGTCGTGAGTATCTTTTGGTGTATTACATGGATTTGATATAACCTAAGGATATATATTACTTATTGGTTACTGAAAATATTTAAAAAATCTAAAATATATTTATTTTTTTTAAATTTGGAAAATTTAAATATTACTTTTATACACGTGACTTTCCCGTATTTTTCGTCATCCCTCAAAGAAATAAGTTCACGAATATTTTCGGGACTTGAAACGTTCCAAATCTGAAAACCGTCATGATAACCTAACAGGAGAACGGATTGACTAGAAAAAAAAAAGAAATTTAATGATAATAACTTGAGAATTTAAATTTGTATGATATAAATTTTGTGCAGCAGTAAATAAAGAATTTTCAATCAATGAATAATTTTTTAATGAATGATCTAAAACCATAATAATATAAAAAAAAAAAAATGTTTTGGCGATTTGCAGACATACTTGATTTGACCTGTAAGTGAAGCAGAATTTGTTGATATAATTTCATCAAATGCAGAATATACAATTGAATATTTCTTTTTCTCAAAATGACCACCACCATCAGGTACTGAATGCAATTGTGGATCGATATCACCAGAAAATTGATGTTGTGAATAGTCTGAATAATAATTTATAGAAGGTTGAAGGTCATTTGAAGAAGAATTCGAAGTAACTTTTCGTAAAGTGTTGGGAAGATAAGCGACATAAGAGGATATTCCATATAACGCAGAGGAAATAGACTCCAAAGCAGAAGGATCTCTGTTAAAATAAAATAAAAAAATAAAAAAAAAAAAAACTCGAATTTAATGTATAATCATCTCTTCCCCCTCCTCTCCCAAAATATGTTATAGAGTTCAAAAGTCAAGTCATATTAAGGATAAATAATATGAGTGAAGTTAGATACCTCAAGAACTTTGGGACAGCCTTGACACCACTGACGCTATTTGGTTGAGGAAGGGAAGACATATTATTCTACTTTTGTTGGTTGCTTAAGTTGGGTATGTAGTTGAAGTTAAAAAGAAGGACAAGACAAGCAAGTGAACAAAGCAAGAATAAAGTTTTTCTTATTAAAAGAAATTAATCAAGTTATATAATTTTTTTATAACTTTTTTTATTTTAAAAATTAGATTAGATATATAAGATATATAAATTATATAAAAATGTATACGATTATTAAAGATATCTGAAGAGAGAAAGAAGATATAAGATAGTTAGATATACTAAACCAAAAAGAACCGAGTTCGTCTCTATTTTAAGAGAAAAAATAAAGAATATGAAATAAATAATAATAATAATAATAATAATAATAATAATAATAGCAAAGAAAAATTTCTTTAATCGAATAAGTTTGAGTAAAAAAAAAAAAGCTATAGTTATCTACAATAGTTGATATTAACAATGCAAATAATAAAGAAGAAGATACGGGAAAGCGAAGTGGGCAGTAAAGAAACAGGATATTTATGAATATAGTATAGCCAAATACGGAAAAAAAGTTAAAAATTGGTCATCTGCAGAAGTGAGTCATCTACTTTAAAATTTGAGTTGATATATTGTATCAGATGATTAATAAATATTAAAGTAGGTACATATTTTTGAGTAAATTACGAGTAATTGGTAAATAGTGAATTTGTACTGCGCACCCCGGGAAGATAACTTGACACTACGGCACTGTACACGCATATTTATCTATTAATATCCAAAGATAATCAGTCATTCATGGTTGCATGTGCGCAGAAAGGATTATTAATTCCCCAACATTTAAGCGGATGATGACTTGCGGCATCATTTTTAATCTTCTCCCCCATTTTTCTTCCATTTTTGCCTATTTTATCTTAAACTATATGATAAAATTAAAATTGCTAAAATGAATTTTTAATTGAAATTAAACTCACGTGGAAATTACATTCCCTAAAAAAAAACACTTTTTAAGACGAACTTCATTAATTGTATAAAAAAACTTTCGAAAAACGAGAAAAAAATACAACTAATAATTTTTTTTTATGCATAAACAAGAAACGTGCACATATCTTTATAATGTATAATATATATATAATAATATACAATAATATATAGTAATGGAAATTATTTGACTTCGCATTATACGGAGAATAGACGGAAAATTAATAAATTTAAAAGAAGGGTGATTTACGTTCTCGTAACTATTTATGTATAAAAAATATTGTTTAGTTTTGTATCGTAATTCATTTAATGAATCACAAATGACTTCTTATACACTTGTATAGTAAATTGGGATAAAAAAGAAAGACAAATTTGACAGTTGATTAACACATTAAAAGTAAAACCAGAAATCAGGAAGTTCCCAAAAATTAGAGACAAAAAACTTGTTATTTAATATAATAATTTTCAATTTACTTTTGTAAATTTAAAATATTTACACTTTAAATTTTTTTTTTTTTTTAAAAAAAAAAACCAAGTGAAAATAAACTTACACAATATAATCTTATATCTACATACATTATTATTTATATTATATTTATTTATTGATGCATGCTGCAAAGTAAATCGGGTGATCATCTCCAAATAAAATTTTTAATAAGTTAAATATAAAAATTTTAATTTCGCGATCGAAACACGTTAAACACGACACGTTAAATATAATTACAGCGTACAAGTATGTCCGACGTGTTCACTAATAAGAAATTCGCGAATATTAAAAATAATAAAATTACAATAGATGAAGCTAAGCAAATATTGGAAGGACAAGTACGAAATATTGAATAAATTATATTATATTATATTTATATCATTTATTGAATTTTAAAATGTATAGATAGATAGATATATATATATATAAATTAATAAATAAATTATTATCAATTATTTTTATTAAGACAATTTCACTACAAAAAATTAATTCAGAAATTCAAGAATGCAAATCAGAAATTTCTGATTTAAAATTTGAATGTGAGAATTTAGAAAAAGAAAATGAGCAATTAGAAAAAGAACGCGAACATCATGAGGCACAAGCCGCTCTTATTGTTTCAAGGTTAAGCGATAAAAAATTACAGGATTTATGTAGATGGTTTGTACTGTATAAAGTTATAGAAATTTATAAAAGTTGATTTTTTAATTTAATTTAATTTAATTTAATTTAATGAATTGTGTAAATTATTATTTAAAAATCAAGGCATCGTTCTTCGATACAAATTTATAGCAAGTTGTTGGATATCACATTATCACCAAATATTGAAGAGAATTCTCGAGAATTTTAATGAATTTAAGGTGAATTAACTGTTATTACAATTGTTATTATTATCTTTTTGATCTTTTTTTGTTGCCTTTAGTTCCTTTAGTTAATCGTATCTAAAATAAAATAATTTATTATTCATAAAAAATATATGAGAAAGAATAATAAAAAAAGGAAGAATCTCGTCTCGTCATACCTGTTTATCTCTTAAACTCATTTTCTTTTTCTTCAACACATTTTTATGTACTACCATCATGAAAGCCTTACGTTTCTTTTTTTCTCTATTAGTGGTACTTGTCCCTTCAACTTTCTTGCTTTTATGACCAAACTTCTCACGACCTTCTCTTCCTGCTTTAATTGATTCTAAACGTTCTTCATAATCTTGTTTGGCTTTTTTACGGGGACCGATGATTGTATTAACATTAACTATATCAGAATGCTCTTCTTGTTGACTTTAAAAAAAAAAAATAATAATAATAATAAAAATAAAAATAATTATTATTATTAACAAGTTTTTTTCGAAATATGTTTCGAATCATCAAATTATCGAAATATTGAAATAATGAAATATTGAAATACGAAAATAAAATTTGAATAAAAAAAAATAAAAAACATACACAATGCTTCTTTTACGTTTAGATCCATTGACCATTAATTCTGCTTTGTGTTCCATTTTGAGTTCATTTAATTTGGCGAAATCTGCTGGTGTAAGAAGCTATTTGATGAATATTACAAAAATTAAATTAAATTAATTAATTAAAATATAACAAATTAATATATGACAATTTAAATATGTTTACGTTAGTCATGGCCAAAGTTGATGGTTTCTTTTCCGCTTCAATTTTCATAGAATCATTTTTATCATTATTATTATTATTATTATTTTGTTCATCAATTTTTTCCTTCTCATCATCACTACAATAATTATTAATGACAATATCGTGATCTTCATCCGAAGAAACGTCAATCCAACCTTCGTCGTCATCTTCAGATGTTGAATTTGATAATATTTCCCATCCTTCCCATTCTATTATTATTATTATTATTATTATTATTATTATTTAAAATCTAAATTTGCGTCAAAAATAATAACAATAATAAGATAATAATAACAAAATAAATCAAAAAACCGTTATTACCATTTTCTACTTCTTGCATTTTTTGTTTATACTCTTCCAATAATTCTATTCCTTCAACTTTATCAGCGATAATCTGTTGTCCAAATTTCAATGGTACAAACTCTTTCATGGTCATACTTACAAGTTTACCCTAAGAATAAAATATCACAAAAAAAAATAATGAATAAAATAAATTAAATAAATTAAATAAAATAAATAAAAAGATAATAAAAAGATTCATCATAAATTTACTCTATCCTTTCTCTTTAATAATTCTGGATTAATCTCACGAAACAATCCAATTAATGATCTTGCAGCCATCATCACACTCTTATCCCTATCTGAACGATATTCGGTTAAATCTTGTAATAAGGTAGCATCAATGGCTAATGGTTGACGAACACAAATTTCTCTTATGGCATTTAATCTAAAATTATAAAAATTTATAAAAATTATAAAAGTTGAAAAATTTATAAAATTTATAAAGTTATAAAAAAAGGTTTTCCTAAAATGACATTATCATCTTTACAATCTTACTACAATCTTATAATCTTACTACAATCTTACAATATTATTACAATCTTTACAATCTTACGATCTTTACACCTACCCAGCAGCCATAACTCCATTAGAACAATGATCAGAAACAAAATTATTCGTAATAGCTTTTATAACTGGTTCCAATACATCAGGTGGAATCAATCCGTGACTTGCTTGAGCAATAATAACTAATACCATTGTCACATCTCTTTGATGTGGTTGTATGTAACGAATTAAATAAGTATAAAAATTTAATAAAATAAGTTTATGAATTCCTATCATTCTTGATATAAAATTCATTGTCATTAATTTAACTTCGAATCGATCATTATTAGTGGGTTTTTGAAGGAAGGAAAACATTTTTTCCGAAAATCCTGAAAATGAATATAAAAATAAATAATTAATAAATTAAAATAGAACAAAATAATTTCTTTGGTTATTAATTAAATTTAACAACAAACCTTGAGGATCATTTATTAAATGTAAAGCTGAAAAATTAAAACTTTCAGGTTTATTTTTTTTTTTCTCCTTTTTTCCAACTGTTGATATTGTTTTTTCCAATTTTTTTAATTTTTTTAAGTTAGATCTTTTTGATTTATTAATTTGATTTACATGATATAATTTTTTTATATTTGAAAGGTCCTTTCCATCATCATCTTCATCATCATCTTCCTCTTCCTCTTGATTATTAAATCCCAAGAAAAATTTTATTGCTGTAACTTTTATTTTTGTTACTGAATGAAAACATGCTTCAGCTATAACATTAACAGTTTTAGCATCATTCCTTAAAGCAAAAAATTTTAATTTAAATTTAAAATATTTAAAATCTAAGAAAATAATTAAATATAAAAAATTTCATTTAAATTAAGGTAAATTATTTACCATATTCCTTTTTTATATAATTCAATACAAATATCTAAACTTTTCTTTGCTGCCATAGCATTTTCATTCATTCCAGATGATGATAATCCTCCAAAAATATTAATTTGATTATCATTATTATTATTATTATTATTGTTGTTGTTGTTATTGTTGTTGTTATTATTGTTATTGGTACTTTGAAGGACCGTATACATAAAATTTTGTAAAGTTTTATTAAGTTTGTTATTTTTATGTTTTATATTGGATTTTTTAATATCGGATATTATGTGAGTGTAAATTAAATCACGAAGTTGTTTATCGTGAACTTGAAATAATGTAAAGAATAATGATAATAATCTTTGATTTATTAAAGTGAATATATTAAAAATGAATGTATTAAAAATGAAAATATATTAAATATATTAAAAATGAAATATATTGGTATAAATTAAAAAAAATAAATATTAATATAAAAAATAATAATTAATAAATAACAATTATAAAAATTCATTCATTTACGTGCTGCTGGGTATTATGTCTTTATTTCGAAGTAATATAAGATCTTTTGCGATGGATTTTCGAAGATTGGAATTTAATATTTGATGCTGCTCGGAAAGTAAATTTATTAATTGATGCGGAAAATTACTGGTTTCTTTAGGATAGCATTGAGCTACCTGTTAAAAAATTGTTGAAAATATTTATTTATTTATTTATCTATTTATTATAATTGTAGAAAAGAATTTTGAATTTTTTAAGATATAATTAATTAATCCAACCTGCGAGATAAAAGTAATCAGACTACCAAATTCCTCTGCCTCTTCGTCGGGTTTTAATTTAAAAATTGCTAATTGTGACTCAAGATGTCTATATTGCTGTAAAAAATCTTCTCTATAAGAAAGTGGGTCCCGTTTAATTAGATTTTGAAGTTGAGGAAGGTTTATTATTAATATTCTATTACGTTTCCCCATTTTCAATTTTTTTACTGAAAAATTTTTTTGATTATTATAATTTTATCCGCAGTAATAAACGTGACTTTATAACCCATTGATATTAGTTACACGAAGATCACGTCTTATGATCTACCTTGAATTCGTTAATTCTATTGGTTCTTTATTAAACAGGTGATCAGAAAAGTCAATGTGTTATACCCATTAATCCGAGTGTTGCCTATTTTATAAAACGTCTTTTTACGCGTCTCTTCCTTGTTTTTGTAGTTGCTTTTCTAATACATTTTTATCATGTCTGAAACCACTTCAAGTATTAACTTTCGAGGAGAGTTATCTACATCTAATGATATCCCATACCTCAAGTATTTTGAGCTTTACTCATATGAAAATTGGTCTCTCCACCGCTACGTCTCCCTTATAATTGATAATTATAAGTTTGCTGAGAAAGATTATACACATTCCTTATTTTTTCGTACTCTGCGAAATATTATTAATAATTTGTGTATATTGCAAGAAATTCGGGATATCGCACAAAAACTCATAAAAAATAGAAAGGTAGGCATAGTAAATATAATTAATAAGATTTGATGGGGCCTTATCGCCAGGTGCTTGTACCTATTGGGTTCACCTAGTAGGAACCATGCAAGTACTGAAATGGATGCGTTTGTCGGGATGCCTGGCAAACATCATGGAATTTATTAATATAAATTTTTAGTAAAGATCTGTTGATTCTGAAGGAGGATTCAACTATGTCTTTCTTTACATCAAGTGGATATTCGCCAATGAAGTAGAATATTCTCCAGCATTTCCAGAAAAGAAGAGAAGAAACTTTCGTGTCCTCAGGTAGATAAAATCAAATATCACCATGCCCCGGGAAATATATAAGAATGTCAAGATGGAAATCCGATTCCAAAAAACGAAAATTTCTCACCAGTTCTTACACGGATGAAAAAACGAAAATTTCTCACCAGTTCTTACACGGATGTCCACTTAATGAAAATTTATCTATTATATATTCCTGCACCCGCCATCTAATCTTATTTTTGTATGATTGTGCTTACTGGGAAATATCTCACATCTGATTTTGCTTTTTATAGGCTGATATCAAAAAAGTAAATAGCTTGTGGAAAAAAGCTAACAAGGAAAGGAAGTCATTGCAACCACCAGTAGTATCATCATCATCAGCATTATCATTATCGTTATCAGTAGCATTATCATCATCATCACCAACATCACCATTTTCATCCATACATGATTATTTTGATCATACTGATAACAATGATCACGAAGACGACAATAATGATAGTGATGAAAATAATAATAACAATAATGGTAATAATAGTGATAGTAATAATAATAATAAAAATAATAATGATAATGATGATAATGATAATAACAGTAATAATAATAACAACATTAATAACAATAATAGCAATGATAATGATGATGATGATAACGATGACAATAATAGCAACGATAATGATGATGATGATGATGATGATAACGATGACAATAACAATAATAACGACAATATCAATGATGATAATGATAACAATAATAATGGCAATGGTGATAATAGCGGTAATAATAATAATAATATCAATAATAACAATTCTATGTGACAAAAAAAAAAAGTGATGCCTACATCTCATCGGAATAAAAAATGGGTTAATAATAATAATAATAATAATAGTAACAATAGCAATAATAACAACAATAACGATAATAACAACAGTAACAATAACAATAATAATGACAATGTCAATGAAGATAATATTAACAATGACAATGACAATAATATTAATAATGACAATGTCAACAACGATAATAATAACAATAATAGTAACGATGTTGGTGGTTCTATGCAACAAAAAAAAAGAAAACGGGTTAATGATAACGATAATAGTAGTAATAATAACAATGCCGATAATGATAATGATAACAATATTGATAATAATAACAATAATAATAATGGTGATGGTAATAATGATAATAATAATAATAATAACAATAACAATAATAATGACAACAATAATAATAATAATAATAGTAATGGCAACATTAATAACAATAATAGCAACGATAATAGTAATAGTAATAATAACAATAATAACAATAATAATAATAGTAACGGCAACATTAATAACAATAATAGCAACAATAATAATAATAGTAATAATAACAACAATAATAGACAACAAAGAAGAAGAAACCGAGTTAATCGTAATAATAATGATGATAGTAACGATAACAATAATAATGACAATGACAATGACAATAATAATAATGATAATAATAATGGTGATATTGGTAATAATGATAATAATGACAATAACAATGGCAATAACAATAATGATAATAGTGATAATGGTGATAATGGTGATGGTAATAATGATGATAATAATAATGATAATGGTAATAATGGTGGTGATAATAATAATGATGATGAGAATAATAACAACAATAATAATGATGATGATGATAGCAATATTGTTGGTAGTTCTATCCAACAAACAAGAAAAAGCCCTCGGAATAAAGAGCGGATAAAATATAATATAGAATATTTATCAAAAAAATCTGTAAGTATAAATGGTATTAACAATAATAGTAATAATAGTTATATTAATAAATTTTACTTTATCTTTAGACTTCACCATCACCATCATCATCTTCCTCTTCAGCTACTCAGGGAAGCAGAAAAAGAAAAAGAGTCATCTGTTCAAGAAGTTGTCCTAAACATTGTAAAAGAAAAAAAATAAATAAATAGATAATTTTTTTTAATGTGGATGGACATGTATTTATTTTTCGCTATATTAATAAAGCTAGCCCTGGTGGCTGATTTCGTATAATTAATCGTGTTCATTTTTTATGTATTTCGGGATTTATTACGTTGTGTTGTTATTGATATTGATGTATATTGGAGGGTTGAAAAGAAGGGTGATGAAAAACAAACAGGTGCACTTCTTGAAGAATTAGAACCTATTCTAAATAATGTAAGTAAAGGTGGGAGAAAATGTATAATAAATATGATAAATAAAAAATCATAAATATTAAAGTGATATGTTGAAAAAAAATAAATCAAAATGTTCGTGAGTATAATACTTGGCCTGAATTTTTTGATTATATTTCGCCGAATTTTCAAGTCCCGTTTGTCATGTGACATGATCCGTATTCTTAGACCGTTTTCGGTTGCCGATCTTTAGTCACTTGATTGGACACGGATCCCCAAATTAAATTATATGATCCCGATATTCGTAACCTTAATCCTAACCCAAGTCTAACCATATATGGCGATACTGGGTTTACCCATTGTTAGACAAATTCACATTACACGAATTTATTATTAATTTAAAAAAAATCAGCAAAATTACAAACCAAATTAACTATAATAGGTTTTTGAATATTATACTCTGATCAAAAAAGAAATCACCCTATAATAGTTTTTTTTTGAATATTATACATTGATCAAAAAAAGAAATTATAATTTTATCCTAATTTTACAGCGAAAATCATGGTTACACCTAGGTCAAATCGTTAAATTCTAGATTTTCA